CACTCCCATAATCAGCTTCCACAAAAGTCCAGGGCAGATGTATATCCATACTAATAACCGGAAATCCTACGTGAGTGCCCTATTTACCGGTAGCAGACTATCGAATTTCGTATTATTTCTATGAAAACTCTCACTATATCCTTCTTACATAAGCTTAGTCTTTGCATCCTAGTACGAATCTTGTCGATGGCCTGTTTGCACCACTGTTTTGTGATATACGAGTTTATGATGCTGTGAAACTTGATTGCTCAGCCATATTTTTAATTAATAATCAATAAACAAACAAAGCTTCAACACATAAGCAAACAGCTTGTTATTGTTAGCACATAAAAGATCAATTATTGTCGTCGGAACGCTGAGACGCGTCATGATGAAGACATATGAACATTCTAGATGTAATCTGATTTAGTACATCAAATAATATTTCGATATTGTTACAAAGTTTTTTTGGAAGTCTTGATAAGCACTCATTGTGACCTGATAAAACAATTACGCTTGTACCGAGCACATTTCAAATAAGATCGATGTTAAGTATCAGGATCAACGCAATTTTCAATCCAGAAGCACAAAAAATATCATTTAACTTACTTTCAATTTATCTAAACTCATATAAAATATAGTAGCCATGAAGATTCGGTTCTATCAGTTTAATTAAAAAAATATGACTTCAATTTTTTCCTTTGTCAATATAGAAAATAATCATGAACAATATGAACTTTTTAACACAAAAGAAAGTCAATCAATCATTATTCAGCAATCTCAGAAACAAATAAAAAAATTAGATATTCATAAAATATTGATATCGCATCGTTGTCTTGAGTTATTTCTGAAGATTAATAGCAAACAATTTGTATAACAAATCATATCACATATTGACACTTTTAGCTTCAAAGAATATCTCATTTACAAAGTGACGACACATTCTAATAATCAAACAAAACATTTGTAATCATAAAATAAAGTGTTACTCATATTTTCTTCAATCATTCTCATATTCAATGTAATCATACATATTCTTTCATTATAGTTCATAGTCAGATTTATTTTTCTTATCATTGAAATAAGTCTATATTCATACAAATGCACACACATACAAACATTTTTGATTAGTTCAGTCATCACATGCCGGGAGTAGATAATTATCTAAGATAATGTATATCTGCATCTTACATAAACAAAAAAGAAGAAAAAAAAAAGGAAAAGATCACTACCATTAATAACAAAAAAAAAAGGTCACAAAAGAGATTAATAAACACGCAAATGAACGTGTATTTGATGAAAAAAAAATGTTAATATCTGTATTAAACAATAATAATATTAATCTGACATAATAGAAAATAAATGACTAGACTAGATAGTTATTATTGAATTATCTGTTGTACAAGTCGAATTATTATTCGGACGATTATGACTTCGTATTGTTGAAAATGTTGCATTGTTATTTGCAAGAAATGATGAAGGTGTCATACGGATACCAATACTTTCACCATCTATTAAAAATAATAAAAAAAAAACACCAACAAATATTCTTTTTTTATATTTATTTATAAGGTATTTTTCTTACGTGATTGATTGTTAACTCTTTTTTTATACGAAGATGTTAATGATGATGTTGATGCATATAAAACAGGTACATTATTTTTATCAAGAAAACCATATGTTGGTTGTTTTATAGCATCATAATGTATTGTACTTCCACCTATTGTTAATTGAGACATTTCATTTATTTGACTATCATCATTAATATCATGATTTAAATGTCCAAATACATAATAACATGATTTACTAAAACCACGTGTTAATAAACCAACAATTGGATGTCGAATATAACCACGTTCAAGTAAAGCACATGCATATTCTTTTGCATCTTGTTTATCAATAAAACCATCAACATGTTTATATAACCAATGTACAAGATCGGAACCAAGAAAAGAATTTTTTAAAATTATTTTTAACCATAAACGATCTCGTATATCTAAACCTGATTGAGATTGTTGCATAGCATGACAAATTGTTTCCATATCTGAATTACGTGTTAAATTTAAATCATATCGATATTCTATCAAATAAATAAATAATAAAAAAAAAACAAAGCAATTTTGTGTTATTTTTTTGTTGAATGAAATTTACTTTTTATACCACTATTATTATGTGGTGAATTTGAAGATGATGATGATAATGTTGAACTAACTGCTGGTGGTGGCGAGAGTGAAGAACGTCGTCGCATAAGTACAGCATTTGTTTGTGCAACCCATTGACGAGGATCAATTGGAAGAATTGGTTCTTGTCGTGTATTATTATTCATTACTGCTTGATGTGGAAATGGAAAATAACCATTCATTTCATCATCATTTATTATACCATAATGATCATTCCATCGTTTAGCAATAACTAATTTTATTGATCTAAATAGAATATTAAATTTTGAATGAAGAAAAAGAAAGAATTTTTATTTTACTTAGCATCTTTAACAGTTTCACGTAATAGACGTACAGCATCACTGTTTGATATATGTTCAAAACTAATATCATTCATTTGTAAAATCATATCGCCTGGTTGAATACGACCATCAGCATCAACAGCACCTCTAAAGAAAAAACATGAATACAAACATTTAGAAGAGATTTGACATTTTCTAATAACTAAAGAAATTTATTTATCTTGTTTAGTATATTGTGTGATCGTTAAATTTACAATCATACTGCACTGATATTTACTTAATATTGAAAATGAAGATAATAAACAAATTATTTGATTATATGATTGGTTTTCTCATGAGAGTACCGTTTCAAGTGATAAATCGTTTTTGAATTTGGCTCTATATGTAATGGAGATCTCATTGTGATATGAAACGTTCCAAAAGGATAAGTGTCCTTATGCCTTCCTTCCAGGATTAATGCCATTTTTCTGAAGTTTTAGGGTATGGCACCATATGTGCCAACAAATTGAATGACAGTATTTTGCCCTCAGATAGATCTACTTGTGACTAGAATGTCCTGAAAATTTTATCTGACAACAATATTTTCTTCGCAAGATATTGAATTTTTCAAAAATCACTCATATCCTGCAAAAAGTATGAGAATCTCAGATTTTGCGAAATTCACTATCTCGCGAAGGAAACATTCTCATCTCATTAGGATCTACCTTACGCATAGAATTCGAAATTACGAATGATTTATCAGCTGAAGCAGTTTTCTTGTCAGTTTTGTTTTCTGATTTAAATGTCAACATTAAATTTCTGAATAAATATTTGACATTTTGAACAAATAGATCACAAAATCTAAGTTTCGAAACACCGAATACATTAATCTAGTTTATTAGAAATATTAAATAATATGTTTTCTTTTGTACTACATATTATAATATATACCCTTTCATAATTGATCCAACAATAATGCCACCATCAGATTCACCAACAACAGTCATACCGAGATATTTAATACGTTCTATATAGAAGAAGTATATTTAATATTAAAATAATAATTAATTAACATACCCAAACTTAAAACAACAGTAACAACATCCATTGAAATAGTTGAATCAGTCATACTACTCATCGATGAAGCCTTTGAAGAAAATTTTCTTTTGTTTTTCATAATTTAAAAAAAAAGAAATAACAATAGTTACCCTTTGTCGACGATGATGATGTCGTCTACGACGTCTTCGTCTTCGCTGATAATTATTACTCATATCTGATGTATTTGTTGTTTCTGTAATAGATGAGAATCTAAAAACAACAAAATTATATTATAAAGTTTTTTTTTTCTATTAAAAATTCTTTTTTACCGATCATCATCATGATCAATTTGACTAGCTGTATCCGTTATTTCCGATGCACTTGTATCAGTAGTAAATAATGAATCATCTTGTTGACGACTTCGACGTGTATAATTTGTATTTGTTGTTGTAGCTGTTATATCATTAATTGTATTTTGTGATAAAGCAGCTGGCATAAGCCATGCAGCAATACGCCCATTAGCTGATGGAAGAATTTGTTTATGATCAGTTATTTCTTCACGTATAACACCAAGAACAGGATCAACTGATTTAAAAAAATATTTATAATTTTTTGTATATGATCGTGGAATAACAACTAGAAAATCATCGAGTGTTATTGACGTCGATGGTTTATTTAATTTAATTGAAAATGGTTCATTAGCATCATCGCGATTACTATCAATGTAAATAAATATTCTTGTTGTTGTATTTGCTATACTCGTATTTAAAATATTCGAAGATGATGGTGGAAGAGACGATGTTGATGATGTTGCTGTGGATAATGTTTGAGGACAAATTTGAGACATCTATTTTACAAAAACATAAAAAGCAAAAAAAATTTTCAAGAGAAAAAAAAGTATTGAATGATTTAATCAAGAAAATAAAAACAATCATGAGAAAAGAGTAAGTAACAATCAATCCATCCATCCATTACACCCAATCGATATCATGTATTCTCATAATTTCTTTTTATTGGATGATAATCAGGAAATAATTTTATGAAAAAGAGATGCCGCATCTAGTCAGTAACAAAAAAGGTATGAGCAATACGTTTTAAACTCAAAGAAATCAACATAAAAGAACAATCAATTGCCTATACATCGATATTTCACAAATAGATCGTCTTTCAGCAACAAAACTATCCATATCTAATCAATGTGAACTTCTATAGAATTAAAGTATTTCCCTTATGAATATTATTTGTCAATACATTCTGTGATTCTGTAATTTACTATAAACGTTATTCTATATTAATATTTACAAACTCGAAATTTCTTTTCATACAATAACTAATTATTTATCCTTTATGATGATTATTCAATCAATATTCGATTCTATATGTTATTATCTTGAAAAATACTTCAAATTCACATTTAAAGTAGATTCTTTTTTAAATAAATAAAAATAAAATTAACTGGAATATCAAATATAGTTTCAATGATCAAAGAAAACAGATCAATTTAAATTCAATTTTAAAAGTTTTTTCTATCTATAACAAGTATCCGATGCATTTCTCAATAAATATTCTACCTGTTTGATTTCTTTTTCTGGAAAGAAAAATTTTTTTCCTCGTATATTTATTTCTTATTTCACAAGAAATTTATTATTTTTCTTTTCAATCAACAGATTGACATTAATTGGAATCCGCTTTATATCAAATTCACTACAAACTCAAAATTTCTTTTTGTTTTTCGAGAGTAAAATGCTTACTGATACAGTTTCTGCTCTCTCTGAAATACTCAACACACATATCAGAGTAAAGATGCCACAATGAGAAAGAAAAAAAGGAATAAAAGAAAACTTCAGGAACAAAATTCAAAACGATATATAATGTGTGTAGGTCACGGAGAAAAAGATTGTACCTTTGAACGAGTTTTTCTTAAAACTAGTTGCTGTAAACAAGCAAAAGTTAGAACATAAAATTTCTTCTCAAGAAGGACTATTGTTAAAAGAAGTGTGACTGTAAAAAAAACTACGGATCCGAAAACTAGACTTCAGCTTTCAATAACTATTAAATTGTTAGCGAGTTTCTTCTAATATCTATATGATTAGATTTAATGCTGAGAACGATTTAGATAAACACTTTGAAACTGTTCAATTGAAATTTTACATTTTTTTTGATATTAAAGTTCTTCTATTGGACAGAATCAACAATTATGAAACAGGACAAATGTATGTCGGTTTTTTCATCAAGTTAATGACTAGATCGAATGAGAATTAAGCGGCTATTACTAAATCTCTCTTAAAATAATCAACATTCGTTGCCTTCTGTATATCAGACGAAGGTTATCTGAAAGATATGCAATTATACTTCAAAATCACTTTTGTAAACGTTACAATGGAATCAACTAGATATTTAAGTAATCAATTAGACAATATACATTTTTCTCATTACTTTTATTGACATGTAAATGAAAAATACAGCATTGACAACAACAAAAAAATAATAAATTTCACAAAAAAATCGTGTAAAAAAAACTATTTGCATCGTCGATCTGTAGACTGACTTTGTACGCGATCGCGACCATTTCTAAAAAGAAAAGAGTGTGTGTTATTTTCAATTTTAGCAAAAATATTTTTTTTCTTCTTCTATAAGTCATTGCATGACGGTATTACCGATCCGAAACGGCATTCGTAGTTCCTTGTCTGTAGGATTATCATCGAAGTGAAGAAAAATAAAAAGTAACATACACTCATAGATGAAACAATACCATCTCCGGACATATAAGAACAACGTTCTCGAGATCAATTTTGACCGAAACATCAACATTTAATAACATAAAATGTTGTATTTTATCATCAATTTATTTTTAACTTTATTATTTATTTCATTCTTACTACTAATTCTTTTACTTAAATTAACGTATTGATTATGCATTTATTTATATTTTTTATTTAATAAGATTTGCTTACATAGAAAGAGAAGTAATGTTATTATAATTGAAAATCATAATGAACTTGCTTAAGCAATTTGAGATTATGGACAAGTAAAACGTGAAAACAATGTGATTCCAGTATCTACTTTTCTAATAATATCCTCCATCATCAGATCTATTCAATATGCACTTATTCGAAAGTAAGTTCAAATTATATTGTTGAAGATATAGTATACCACCATTACAGTTGTAACCATCTATACATGAATTAATTCAGAAATCATGTCATTTGTTTTTATTCTATACAAGGAAATATCAATTACTAGAGTACGAATACAAAATGCATTATATATCAAACTAAATTAAATAATAGCTTTCTAGTGGTTTTGAAAGAAGAATTTAGAATAAGTCTGTGCCTATATGATTTATTAATATATGCTAAAAAAACACTTCTATGTGGTGATCATCAGTTCTGCTTCTCGCCTAAAGATTTTATTTACAAGAAAGTCTCATATCGCATTTTTTATTCTATTAATGCAACAAGAGTTTATGCGCACTACAAAAGATATCCATATATTTAAAACACTCTGGTACTTCCAGTTTAATAAAATGGCAAGAAATAGGGAGTTATTTCAAATAAATTCTATATCACATTTGAATATCAATAAAATATTAAAAAGAAAATTAATAAATTAAAGAATCTTTTACGTATATTTAAGTTTTATCTCACGCAATCCGTCAAGAGCCTTATCTATCTTGCTCTGAATCGACGCTTGACTAAAATGATGACAAACTAGTTATTTTTTTTTACTATAAGCAACAACTTACTGGTAAATATAGAATAATGGTTCATTCTCTTGTAAGTTGTAGCCGAGTTCGATTAATTCATCAAAACCTAATATAGCTTCTAAACAAGACAATATAACACATACCTAGTAAAAAAAACATACCATCATAGCGTCGAACGCTAAAGAAAGATCCAGATTGATCCATTAAAATGGTCATCATCGTTGGTTTTACAATATTTGGTTTACTCTTCAAATACTTTGTATAATTCTAATAAGAAAAAATTATATATTTGCGAAATTTATGTGTTACTTACCTCAATAACATCGTTGTAATTTTTTAATTTAAATGCAGTTGTAGCTTTGACGTAATAATTAAAAACTGATTCCATTGTTTTAATTTAATCTTATGACCACACACACAATCGTATACAATCGAATGTTTACACGAAAACATTCATATCCCAGGTCCAACAAAACGGCCTGAAACGGCTATAAAACGACGATTAACGATGTAAAAAGTCGATAAACGGCGTCATAATTCGTCATACCAGATTACAGAAGCAAAACCAGGAAAAAATGACGGCCGTTTTCGAGCGATAGAAATGGCTCGTAATATGGTATGACGGATTACGGCGAAATAAGACCAAAATTACTGCAGTAATTCACCGTTTCAGGCCGGATAAGACGCCGTTTCCTACACCCGGAATGATCCATCGGGGATATATATGTATGTGTACATGAATGATTTAGACGACCAGGCAAACAAAACAATGAATAAACTATAGTCGACGATGAAAAGACAATGATCCCAGACAGACCAAAAGTTCATAGAATTATCCTATAGAAGATAAAAAAAATCAGTTTATATAAATGTCACTAAAAGAATAATGGATGTGATTTTAGATAGGAGAAGTATTCAAAGCAGAAAAAGATTACTTTTGATCACCAATTTTTTTCGGGCTATGATTTTTCATTATATCATTTTTGATGCTTCTATACGATATACATAACTCATCGTCCACATGTTTTCACAGATCAGACAGATTAATGTATGATCAAACCACTTAGTGTATAATGAAGTTAATTAGCCTATAGTGAAAGCAATTAGTAAATAGGGTGCATGTATCTATAGAAACACTAGATATCCATCTAACAGTATTGTTTCCTAGGTTAATATTGTAAGACATATATATTGTATGCTTTGTACCTATACTTTAGTTCTTATCCAGGTCAACGATACCATTAATTAATTGACCCAATTAACAGTAAGGAACATCACAGAGTGAGTGTAAGATTATCGTCAGTCTGAAGCAGCACCTACGTTATATTCAGAACTAATAATGTGGAATGATTGTTGAACGAAGAAGCATTTTTTAGTTTTTATATTCTTAGTTATAGTAGGGATGAACTATGAAAATATTGCTTTTAATTTACTTTATGAATTTTCAAAGCTTCTATCAAAATTCTCAATCTTTGAAGAAATGTTAGTTATAGAAAAAGAATTCGTCGAATTCTACAAAAAATGAATCATAACTGGAGATGACCACAGGACCGAAGATTATGCAGGACAAGTATTAAATCTTTAAATTCTCGATAAAATAAACATGTAGTAAACTTCTCAGTTATCTTATAATCAATGTATTTCACGATCTTATCAAATATCGTCATTCTAATCGAATGTCGAAAGAGGGCGAAGATCCTTGCAAACTCATTGTATACATAGTTGTTTGATAATATGAACATCTTTTTAGATTTTGTTTTGAGGATATTTTGAATCTCTATGGTACTAGAGTAAATTGTATAGATGATAAAGTATTTGATTGATCAATTATTACGGAAGTAGATGGTGAAGAAGGAGAAGACATGAATGTGATACATTCTGTCTGATGTTTCTTTAATCTTGTTGTTTCACTTTCAGCAGAATCAATAAATAGTTGGAAACATTCGAAAGAAGTAATAACTTATCCAAAGGTTCATTACTATCGATTAATTTCATTGAATTTAGCCGACAATACAATGATGCTTCTTCAACATAGTGATGCTGCTCATTATTGGTTTTTGATCACTATATATTTTTTTAAATTTTATGACTTAAATAAAAGTTTGAGCATTCCAAGAAAATTCACGTGATGGAAAAGATATGTCACATTACCTTAAATGTGTTAGAAATTTCAAAATCAAAAAAGACTTACAAAGTAAAATACGAAATCAATAAGAGTACAAATAACTATCGATGGCTATTCCTTATCTGTTTATATTTCTCGTTATTTTCTATTGCTATTTTGACAACTCGTATTGAAAAATGTTAAACTAAGTGTTGTTTTTCATTTCAATAGTGACATTAGCAACTCATAGTAGGTATCAAGTATAACCAACAACAATATGTACTATACAAAAACTGTAAAGAAAAATTTATTTGAAAATACAGGATGACCTTATGTGTTCTGTTCTAGTCTGCTGCTCGTACATCAATTGTCCTGCTGAGCGGTAGGACAGCACACAGAATGGTGGCACGCCTTGTCCTATACTTATTTCTCCTCATAACACATTAATAGGTGTTAATATGTTATATTCTGAAACTTTGCTCTTTGAATTTTTAATATCTATTTATTAGTTCATAAGTTGTTTTGATTATGTTTATTAATGAGCTAGCACTTATATATGATATTACTCATTCATCAAATAGTATTTTCAATAGTTCTGTATCTCTGTTATAAAAACTTTTTTTTTCGACGAATTAATTCCTAATATTAGTAAAATAATTATAAATGGTTGATTCAAAGGAAGTACTCAATATTAATTGAAAACAATAATAACTTATCTTTTTAATTCGACTCATCAATTAATCAATGATAGAATATAGTGTATGTGTAAGAATATAATGTAAAAATCAATTTTACAATTATTTTTTGTTCATCAAATAATCGAAATCGATTCTTTTTAAATTTAATGAAAATTAAATTAAACATAAAAACTATTCATATTCAAACTTTTGATAAGCAAAGTTTTCTTATTATTTTTGGTGAACATAATACAATCTTGGTTTTTTATTCACTTTTATATCATCGTCATCAAGTAAAATATTTGAAAAAAAATTTTTTTATTTTATTTTAAACAATCTTTCGATTCAAAGCAGCAGCTGATTTAAGATCACTTATAACCACTTTACAAATAGCTTTATGTAATAATTGACATTGTTTAACAGCTTCATCAGTTAATTCATCAAGATAATTTGGTGTTGCCTCACCATCAAAAAATATACATGATACTTGTGCTAAATTTGGCATATAACATAATGTAAATAATGAATCATTTGTTTTTAATGATTTAGCAACAACTGTATCATACAATTCAATACAAGCATCTATTAATGCAACTGTTGCTGATAAAATAATAGCTGAAAGTAAATGTTGTCCATCATCTTCAATAACATCAATAATAATATCAATTTGTGATTTAGGATATTTATGAAGAAGTATACAAGGTAAAAGTGCTTCTTCAAGACGTGAACATAATTCTGATTCTTCACAATCTTCATCATTATCATATTGTACTGAAAGTGGATCAATACGATGTTGACGTGCAAATGGTGAAAATTTAATTGATGTTTCAAGTAAACATTTTGAATATGATTCATCTGATGTTGATGATGTTTCACGTGGACCATAAATAGCACATGTTACTTTTGTTGCTGATAATTCAATAAATGATGAACCATTTGCTTGTGTAATAAGACTTTTTGATTCAATAGATGATGAGCCATTTGCTTGATTAATAAGACCTTTTGATATAAAAACATTTTCATCTAGATTTACATTTTTTATATCAGATAAATTAAGATCAACAGCAAATTGAAGTGGATCAAAACATTCATCGGGTTGTTCCATTATTTAATCTGAAATAATTATAGAAGAAAATGCAAGAAAAAAAATTTTTGCTTTTTGTTTTATAAATTTTATTAGGCGAAAAAAAAAATGTTTAACAAACATAAGAAAAGTTTATTCATCCAAAACAACTAAACTATCATTTTGTGGTGATTCTTCTTCATCAAAATCTTCTGTCTTATCATTACTAATATTTAAGTCAATAAATTTAGGATCCGATGCACGAACACCATCATTTAATAATAGAACACAACCATCCTATAAAATTTTATTAAAAGTAAAATCAATATTATTAAATCATGAAAAAATAAAATTAAACCTTAATTAATTCAAGAGCAATTCGAGCTATATTCATTGAATCATCAAGACCTGAATGATGACGACCATCAAATATTAGACCAAGACTTTCTAACATTTTTCCAATACCTAATTATAACAAAAAAAAAAAAAAACAACAACAACATGATGAAAAAAAGTTTCTAGTTATTTTCATACCACATCGTTGTAGGGAATAAAAATTAGCAAATTCCTTTCGAATATTAATCCATTTTTTAGCCCATCGTGGATATGATATAGAATTAAAACGACATTGCATTCGAAGAAATTTTGCAAAATCCCATGGACTATAAAATAAAAAAGAAAGAATAGAAAATATATTCAAATTAAAATATTTCATTTTTCTTTTTTTCATACCCATCTGTAGCAAATGCGCATCTACGTTTATTTGATGATAAAAGATTTCTTTCGTTTAACCAACTTTCAACATTATGCAGAACTTCAGGAAATGTAGGAGCATTATCGACTTGATGCTAAAAGAAAATTTTTTGACCATTTAAAGTTTGTTTGATTAATATTGAAGCTGAATAAACTTTCGAACTGATATTGTGTTCATAAGTATACTCTGACAACACTAGTAGAAGCCTATAACGGTGGATCCACAATGCACTGTTCTTCCGCAAGTTATTAAAGTTTTACAGAATTTTTTTGTCTCATAGACATGACAATGTCCTGAAAATTTCAACCCTAAAAAAAGATGCGTTCTTCTTGAGATATTGAATATCTAAAAACAATCATGTGTCACTGAATTTCGTAATTCGAGTTTTTCACAAATACTTTGATTCAATAAAACTGTAATAACTTGGGAAGGACAGCGCAGAGTGGTGAACTCTTATAGACTTTTACTAGTTCTGTTGGAGTCTACTTGTGGGTGAAATATCAATTCAATTGGTGGGTCACACATTAAGATGTTTCTCCGTCAGATATGCAAATCTATATAAATCGAAAGAATAACAATATAGTCATTTCAACAGCGGAATAAAACAATAATTATTTTCAATTTTCGAAATAGAAATCGAAACTAAATTGAACTGAGAAAATTTCATAAATAATTGATTCATAAAAAATAGAAATATTTACCATGGATTAAAAAAACTATTGTACAAAGACTAAAAAAGCCAAAGATAAAAACTCATCGAAAATTTTTCTCAGCTCAGGCATTATTTCACTTCATTTGATTATTTACCACTTGATTCTTCTAGACTACAAAGCAACAAACAACTATCGAACATGCTAATCATCTGAAGTATAAGATTGGTTTACAATCTTCTTGAATGTGATGATTATATTTTAAAATATAGTAAAACTTCTCATAGTGGACACTACTTATGGATTTGGAGAGAATTTATTTAACTTAATAGTCAACCATTACCGGTTGGTATTTTCGTCAACATCAATTTTTTCATTTCTGTTTTCAAGCGAATATGATACTAATGAATATTTGAGGAAACTAGTTGAGATGGATAGAGAAGAAGAAAAGAAAGATCTATCTATTTTTTCTTCTTTAGCACTTTCCAAATGTCTAACAAACGTGTGTGTTTCTTCGAAAAATTTCGCTTTTGGAAAAGTGTTAACTTCAATACAGTAAAACTTTCCTATAGTTGACACTCATCATACTTTTCGAAAGTGTCCAGTATAGTTCAAGTGGACTATAACATACTTCCAACGTGCACGTTGAATTTTATAACTGTCAGAATTAAACTCTGGGAGAAAAAAAACAGAAAAAGAATGTACGAAACAAAATAATAATTGTATTCGTTTCTTATTTTTATTTTTATCTCATCACATTTATTTTCAATTGTGCATTTTCTACCTCTCAATATAAAAAAAAAATGATGAATTTTCAATCTCAATATAATAAATTGTTATTTTTTTTCAACAGCCTATTAGATGGTTAGCATATTCATATAGACATATACATACTTGTTCAATACCAGTTAATTCTGTACAAAAATTTGACAAAATAGGTTTTATTGTTGGTCGACAATATGATTGAAATTTATCAACCTAAAAAAAAAATATATTGAATTTGCTCTTTTCTTTTTTTCTTTTTATTAAATAATTACAATTATTTGCTGTTTTGCATCAATAAGAACAATAGGAAATTCAATAATTTCATGTGGATAATTATTTCCTTGATTATTATCACATGTTGCTTCAAAGTCTATAATAGCAATATATTCAAAATGTTGTTGAATCATTTTGAAAGGATTTTCACATCCAAATGTTAATTGAGCTTTATAATAATGTTTTAAACGGATACGACGAATTTTAATCTCACCACTAGCTATCACAAATAAATAAATAATTTTAATTATGAAATTCTAAAAAAAAAAAAAAGAACAAAAAAAAGTATTCTTTATAACCTTGTTGATAATTGTCGTTTTTTTAATTCTTCATCGATTTGTTCCGGTACCAAACGATTAACAAGTCCATTATATTTACTTAAACGTTTTTGACATCCTTGATCTGTAATAGGTTTTTTTAATAAATATCGGTCATCAGTGAAAAATGGTTTGGCATTTGTATTTTTAATCCAATCAAGATCATAAGTCTGTTTCAAAATCGAAAAAAAAACAATGTATTTAATAAGAAAATACAAATAACAAATTTACATGATTTTTTGATGATTTGGAAGTTTTTTTTGTTTCTACTAATGAATTTTCGTTGTGACTAGTCATATTTGATGATGCCATTTTGACTGTTTCAAATTGAAAAATTGATCTAATGAACAAGTATATATGAACCGAATAATTTTCATAAAAAAACCCAAAAATTCATGGATCATGTCCAACAAAACTCAAATCAACCACAGAAAGAAATATATGATTGGTTATTTATTTATTATTTACTATTATTCAGATGTCACTCATTTCTTAAGAGATTTTGAATTGAAAGTTGGCATATTTCTTTATTTTCTAGTAAGTTAATACTTTGAGTTGATGACGTACATGACGTTTTGAAATATTATCTCATTAACTAAAAAAAAATGAATTTATCTTCTATAATAATTATCACTGAATTTTACATAGGATCATCTTAAGTTCTATCAAAATAGAGTTTGAAATACTGCACAAAAAAAATAAAATAAACATAATCATTCCTAATACCTGTATTACTTGCGTTTTCTTTATGAAATTGAACGATTTATATTATTGATCATATACTATTCCAGATCTATTGGATTATTTCATAAAAATATGGAAACGTTTTTTTCAAGTTATTACACTTAAATTTGCTCACAGGAAGAAAATTTTGTTTGATATAATCACCAAACTTTAAATATCAAGTATTATGCAAGTAATTGATTGAACTTCAAAAGATATATTGTAATAAAACTCAAACACATGTCTGATACAACATTTATTGATTGTAATTATGTTCAAGGACATCCTATGTCCTAGAGATCGCTAAAAAATTAATAATTAATCGTGATATATAGAAACGATAATAATGAGCTGAAATACGATAGATCGACGATTTTTCTGCAATGATTTTGATGATAACTGTAATAAATCGTGGTTTTATAATAGATTTTTATCCTTAATTATGTCAATAATAGAAGTAATTTTGTTCATTTAACGTCGATTTCTACTGTTATACTGAGTAATTCCTCTTATTCATTTATGATAATAAATATTTTTATTCAAAAACTGATTGTTTACTTTATTCTATATGAATAAAACATGTAATAAAAATAAGAAAAAAAAACTCGATGTGACATGCAATTCCACATAGTTAAATAAGAATACAATCAAAAAATAACCGTTCAAATGTTCAAATTGAGGTTTTGAATTAAGTTTTTCTCTGAAGTCACTCCATGTGTATACGATTTTTTGTGTTTAATAAATCAAATATCAACAAGAGAAGTGTGGAAGTAGAAGTCATAATTAAAAAGTAGGACTAATAACGATGGCAATAGAAGAAGTGATCTTAAAGAGGAAAGATAAATTTTTCAAATTTACATTAATTTAGGATTAAAAGACTCATCGAAAAGTACCAAGAAAATTCTAATTTAAGAATTACTTGATCTCAAAACATATCTAAAATTATCTATATAGATAGAAAAAAGCATTTTTTGATATGTAAATGAATATGAATACGAAGTTCAGTTCGATCATTTTTCTAAAATTGTCCAACCTCGTTTATGTCATTATAGTGGCATTCATGTCGAAACTAAAGTTTTCTTTTGGTTTCATTTTCCAAGGATTATATCAAAACAATGTGTAGAAATTATATTTTACTTTCAATTTTATAGATTTGAAATATTTCTCGAATTAATTGACGGTTTGTAATTAGTCACTGAAATCAATAATGATTAAAATCGGTTTATTGCCGATTCTCAAAAAATCATTTCTTATATCATAATCAAGATAAAATCTAATTTTCTACAACATGATATATGGATTAAAATGAAACATTTTTCTTTGTTAAGCTCTTACAATGTCAGATATACACTTTGACATCAAATGTTCAACGAATCTAAAGCAAACATATGATATATTTCTATTTGAATAATGATCTAAACTCTGACATTTTTCTTAATCACTAAAATTAAATCAATTAAATAGAAGAGTATACTGAAGTAAATTTTTTTCTCAGAATTAATCTCGATGATCGACAATCAATCTTATATTATGATCAGCAAACATACTCCGTTATAGTAT